GTTTTTAAAAAAATATCATCTTAAATATATATAATAGCGTTTTAAAATAGTTTAGCGGGTTTATTTTTTATATGTTTAAATATATATAAGTACACACATTAGAAACAAGTTCGGCGGGTAGTGGAAATTTTATAAGATTTGTAATGAAGTTTTATAACGAAGTTTTATAAGATTTGTTATAAAATTCTAATGATAATTTTTAACGCTTTATCTAAATATAGTTCGAATTTTATTCTCAATTTAAATTATAATATATTTGCATATTCAAATAACAAGTCAGATCACAGTTTAAATCATCATAATTTAAATTTTACAGTTCTAATTATAAGAGTTCAAATCTCTCCAATTTAAATTGTTGAACCCTCGTTCGTTTCATTATCAGGGTCATATTAAAATAGAGCAGTTCACCATCCACATTAACTAATCCATCACAAAGTTTAGGTTTAGAAAAACAAGGGGCAGGCATTCCTTTTGCTTTTGGCTTATTTCAAGGACCTAGAAACCACGTTTGTCGTACTAAATGTAAAGTTGTTTTTATTAACTTGGTTGTACTCGTAGAATGGGCTGCAGAAGGCTGGTTTCACACGTGTCTTTTTACTCTTTGGAGGCCCCTTATTGTCGACTTAAAAGTAATAGGATAGTTTGGATAAAAATTTAAAATTTTTATGAAAAAAAATTAGTACCATTTGAACTCCGGTTTGAACTATTTTACCAAACATGCTCTAAGAAAGTTGGTCTGCAATAAAATAGCAATTCTACATAGAATATTCGGAGAGGTTAGAATAAGAATATATGTAAAGTAATATGTATATGGATGCACACACACTACACTACAACAGAATGGTCATTTAAAACGTTATCTTGCATATATATATAACAGCGTTTTAAAATAGTTATTATATATATTTATATATATTAAATTTTTTTGAAATTTTAGCGGATTTATATTTTATATATTTAAATATATATAAGTACACACATTAGAAACAAGTTGGGCGGGTAGTGAAAATTTCCCCCCCCCAAATTTCACGTTTTGCCGCTCAAATTTCACGTTTTGCTGCTCATTCACCCCTTTTTGTTTTTCTCTCATTTTTTTTCTTATCTCATTTTTTCACTCCACGCTGCCTTTTCTAGTTTTCTTCTCTCATTTTTTCACTCCACGCTGAAGTGAAGCTAGGTTCTCTTCTCTCCACCGCCGCTGGTTCTCTTCTCTCCACCGCCGCTGGTTCGCTTCTCTCCACCGCTGCTCCTTCTCTTCACGGTGACCCTCTCGTTCTCTCAGAAGTCACCCACCCTTACGGCCTTGCTTATTCTTCGCTTCTTTTTCTTTTTCTTCTTCTTCTTCTTCTTTCATCTCCGTCATCTCTCCTTAAGATTCGGCCTTGGAGAAGTCGTGTCCTTCTCATTTCTTCGTCAGGTCGGCCTTCGTGAAGGCTTGTTCTTCTCATTTCTTCCTCAAATTCAGCCTTCGGGAAGTCAGATTTCTTACATTCGGCAGATTGACTTCAAGTATTTTCCTTGTCCATTTTTTGTTTTTTTGTTTTCGTTTCGATGGTTTAATCTGTGTTTACGAATATGGTTTGGATTTGAGGGAGATTTAGGAGTATGGTTTCTGTTTATTTTTCGTGAAGTCTTCTTCTTCTTCATCCTCGTCAAATTCGGCCTTCGGCCTTCGGGAAGTGAGATTCTCAGCTCCGTTTCAGCTTTTTAGGTATTCCTCATTTCTTCCGCAAATAAATTTTTTTTTCATGTTCGGAGAATCCACTTCATTGTGGATTTTTGATTTATGTGTTTATGTGTTTTCATTTTTATGATTTATGTGTTTACGTGTTTTCCTTGTTGTCGACGTCAGCACCGGCAGCGCTAGTGCAGGTCTCTACCTCTAATTTATCTCTCATTCCGATGCATTTATGTGTGTTTGGATTGTGGAAATTGCGCAGATTTCATTGTCGGACTGCGGTTTTCTTTTGTGGAAATGCATTGAAACATTTGTTTCTTTCTCTTGCCTTTCTAATGTGTTTTGGATTTTTGAACCTTCGTATGTTCTGCGATTACAATTAATTGCTTGACTGCGGTTTTTCTTTTTTCTTTCCTTTTTCCTCTGCATTTCTTTGTTTGGACTTTTGACTCGTAAGTTTTAAGATTAAGAATAATAATTTGGCTGTGGTTTGTTTGATGAGTTTTTTGATTCGTTGTTTGTGGTTCGACAGTTGTAATATGCATTGAAATGTTTGTTTCTCTCTTGCCTTTCTGTGTTTGGATTTTTGAATCTTCGTAAGTTCTACGTTTAAGATTAAATGTTCTATTTTAAACATTGAATGTGTTTTTGTTTGTGCATTTTTGTGTTTAGACTTTCTGAAATTTTGTATTTTCTGAGATTAAGATCAATAGCTCGATAATATATTTTGACTTGCATTTCAGAGTATTAATGCTTTAGTCTCGTTCTTGGCTTGCGTCATATTTTTGCCTGATGTTTTGAAAAGTGTGTTAATTTCCATGATATTGTTCGATTTGTCCTTTTCTCTCTCGATTAAAAGACACTTCTAAAGGTTGGAGAGAGAGGTGGTTGTAATTCCCATTTCATCATCACAAGACAATGTACAACTGTGCCAAGATTGAACCTTAACTTTCGTTTCTTTTTTTGAAGAAACAAATTTTGTTCTTTCTTATATCGTATTGTGCTTAATTAATTTGAATATTCAGACATTAGACCTGTTAAAAGTTGATGCACATTATAGTCTATTTGATGAAAATGGGAAGCTTCTTGGCTCGTCCAGTAGCCCAATACAGATTTGGAAAGAGGGCGACTGCATTGAGATACCAAAAATGAGCAATTGACCTTCATTTGTACTTGTAAATTGCAGTGGAGTGTGGACAATTTTCGAATCCTTTGAAGTTTAAAAATTTCCATATTGGTCTGTAACCATACCATATTCAAATAGCCACTTAAAGCATAAGGAAAGATGTTGGAGAATTTGCATTCATGTTGCAATCTTGCATGTTTTCATTGAGTGAAGTGAACTATTCAATTAGATGTGGTTTACTGAAAGATTAGTGATGCTTTTGAAAATCAACAATCTTCTACGGATATTCTTTTGTGCAGATTAATTTAACGCAGTGGAATTTGATCTTGAGTCCCTTGAGTCTCAAAGTGTGGGATGGTGAGTTATAAATCCATGATTACTCACGGAAGGTTATTCTCTGTGCAGGTGATGCACTCTTCATTCCTGAGGAAGTTTTCAGTTCGCTTTAAAGCTTTTATTTTTTTTCTCTTTTAATTTGGTTCTTGTTCCATTAACTAATGAGTTCCTATTGTGCTTGGATGTGTTAGATTTATAGAATACACTAGCATCAACTTTCAGTTAGTGCTAATATGATAGCTGCTTTTGATGCTGAAGCTGCAACATCTATTTCTACAAATCCACTTTGGTCTTCAAGACAAGACTTTAGGTTTGTCTTTAAATAATTATTGTTTGTCTTGGTAAATCTATATCTATAATGTTCAATGAAATGATACTTATAATTTGCATAATGTTTATCATTCTAAACATGCGTTTGTCTGTCTTGGTTGTGAGATAATTTAATCAGTGTGTCTCTTGTTTTACGTATTGTCATCTATTTGATCTATTTGTGCTTATGGATTTGACGCTTTTACCTTCCACTAGTTGCCTAGAAACTATTTTTTTAGAATTTTGATTTAGCATGTGTTCATTTGTTATTTTGTTAGTTTTTGTTATTTCCTACAGGTCAATACATACTTTGGCCTCGTTCATTTCGCCGATTCGAGTTTAGAATTCGAGTTTTGCTACAGTAAAAAACTTTTAGAAACAATCACATCTAACTTTTTTGCTACAGTAAAAAGCTCTCACATAAAGTCACATCTCAACTCGAATCAACGAACTGAACATGCCTTTTGTTCAATTGTTGGATGGAGTTTTGCAAAAGTTGAAGCACAAAATGAATGAAGATTGGTGAAATTTCTAACTTACGAAAAATTTGACGACTAGTCACATTCCCTCTAATAGCTAGCTAGCGTTTGGTTCTTTTGTTTTCTAGACTTGCTATGTACTTCGTATATTGTGAACAAATAGTTGGCAAGTTGAAAGCAGTAGTATGGATTGATAAGTTTCCTTATTGTATGGATTAGCGAATTATATAGTGAAGGTGGTATTTGACTATTTGGTGTACTTTTAAAATTCAGCATCAGCATCATACATAATAGTATATCAGTGCATTATTCATTTGAAGTTCTAATTTTAAGACGTTAAATAGTTGTCAAATGATTTCTGGCTATACGCAATTTCAAATAGCTAACAAAGATGCATGGACTTGTATATTGATTTTAAAAATTAACAGATACTTAATAGCTATTAAAAACTGCAATAGAAACTAAAACATAGCTAGTCAGAAAAGATATAGATGAGCTTTCTACAGCGTTTAGATAGCAATTAAAAAACGTTATAAGAGCTATATACTTTTAATGGCATCGGCTGAATTAACGTTTGGTAAAAAGCTATGTTAATAGTTTAACAGCATTTTTCGTCAGTTATTGAAGAAGAATTTTCTTGTAGTGACATCTCATAACTAAAGCACTTATTTGCATAATTATTTAAAGTTTTTCCTTCTTAATTAACCCGTGTTTTATATACTTTTACTGCTGCGATCCACACCTAAAAGCCAACCACTTCCCAAAAAAGGGAAAAAAAGAAGACAAAATCCAAACCACTACACTTGCTAAAGTTGTACTGTGATCCATCAATCTTGGTGGATAAGATTATATTTAGATAACTCGTTTTACAGTAAAAAATTTTCAGAAACAGTCATATCTAACTTTTTTGCTACAGTAAAAAACTCTCACATAAAATGACATCTCAACTCGAATTACAAATTCGAATCAGTGAAGTGAACGAGCCTTTAATGTTTGATCAGCCAAGAAATGTCTCTGTTATAACCAGAACATTGATTCTTCTTCCACAGCTCATTTGGAGAACTAAAACTCCTTACAAAATTCACTGTCCAAAACTTTAGTACACTTCTATCCATTTGCGGGTAGGTTAAAAGACAACACCTGCATCGAGTGCAGCGATGGGGGAGCTTATTTCATAGAAGCCCGGATCAATTGCCAGCTCTTTGACTTCGTCAAGGAACCTGATCCAAACTTTTTTAGCCACCTTCTTCCCACTAGTGTTCCTAAAGGTGCTGAGTTAGTCGGGAAAGTAGTTTTGCTCATTCAACTGACGGTTCTCAAATGTGGAGGAACTGCTGTTTCTGTTTGCGCCTCTCACAAGATTGCAGACGCATCATCTATGTGTGAATTCATCAAGAGCTGGGCAGCCATGGCTCGTGATCATGATGAAGTTGTGCATCCAGAATTCATCGGAGCGTCTATGATGCGACCCACAACGGATCCGTCTATCGAGGGCAGGTTGGAAGCCCCAGGTGAAAGTTTCATCACAAAGAGGTTCGTGTTTGATGTCTCAAAGTTGGCCAATCTGAAAGCGAAAATTGGCAGTGGAGTTCCACAACTTGTCCCCACAACTATTGAACTTGTTTCTGCAATTTTCTTGAGATGTGCTATCGCAGCTTGTCAATCCACAACAGGGTGCTTAAAACCGTTGCTATTTTACCAAACTGTGAACTTGCACATGAGAATGGTGCCGCCGGTGCCAGAAGCTGCCATCGGAAATCTCATTTGGGGTTTCCCGTGGTAGTTGAAGAGGCAAGTAAGGCGGAAGTTGGCGATATTGTGGCTAAGATGAGGAAAGGATTGACAGAGTTTTACAATGAGAAGGCGAATAGATTCAAAGGTGAAAATGGTTATTAGTTCATTTTCGAGTCGTTTAAAGTCGGAGAATCTGTGAAGATGGGTATGAATATGTATTTTTATGAAGATTTCGGAAAATTAGGTACAAAGGGTAGACTAAGTGGATAATGCGGACTATATAAAATAATGTCTTATGTGATGCCATGATTGATGTAGGTCAGTTTACTGTGGCCACTACGAGTACAACTATCGTTCTCCGATGTTATAATATTGGGATTTTTATGATATTATGCTAACTATTATGCATCTTTTTTTTAGTGTTTGTAATACAGTAAAAACCCTATAACTTAATTTGTGATAAATTAATAATCACGATAAAATAATATTTTTTATGGTCTCGATTTGGCCAACAGGTTAAATTAAAGGTTTCTCCAAATCCCACTAATAATATGAATTTAGTAACTTATAAATATGAAATACATATTACATGGAGGATGATGCTTTAAAAATGACTTGAGTGTGGTTTGCTTTACCTTAAAATATGAACAGTGGATCTATGTTGAAGGTTACCGTCGCAATAGAAGTTGTCGAACCTCGCTGCCGCGGTCACATTTGAATTTGATACGTGAAAACAAGTACTAGCTATTGTATCAGTCAAATCTACTTCTTGGAGAACTTAATGTGAATGCCCTTTCGGCCAAATCCTAGATTTCGTTTAATGTCTCCACCCTCGATTTTTTTCCACATAAAAATTTAAGAAAAATATTGATATTATTGTTAATCTTGAAACTAATCTTTAAATTGTATGTCTTTAGCAATTTACCCTCTAAACATTTAATTTTAACAAGATGCCCTCTTATAAAATTGTTTCAATATGCCTCATTTTAACGTGATTATTAAATTAGTGTCGAAAAAAAACGTTCAACAAAAAGTTTTGACATCCCAATTCAAATGAAATGTAAAACCAATTGGATGGACTAGAGCTATGAACGCTGAGATGGAACCAATGAATTCTAATCAAGTCTGGGAACTGGTAGATCTTCTTGATGGGATATAACCTATTGGGTGTAAATGAGTTTATAAGAGGAAGAGAAACGTGGATACAAAAGGTCAAAACCTATCATGCTGGAATGGTAGTAAAGGGATACACATAAAAGGAGTGAATCGATTAAAGTGTTCCAAATAACAAGGCTAGAGCAACAATATCTGAATGTTAACAAGCATCATATTTATATTCATACTTTCATATAAGCACAAGAGAATATTTTGAGGGAAAGTATAGACTAAACAGAAAAGCAAATGAAAAAAAAAAAGCAATGTTGAGCTTCTCTCTCTCCCCCACCCCCCGAACCCAACCCTCTACCCTCACACCCTCCCCCCCATCCTTCCCACATTTTCTTTTGCTCTTCTTTTACTCATTCATCCCATCTCTGAAAACGTATTTCTTTGAGAATGGATTCTTAGAACATGTATTTCTTATTGCAGAAGATGAAATATACAATTAGAGAAATCAAGAGCCAATGACCAAGTTAGGAGCATCGATTAGGGATATTGATTTGTTACGAGAATGAGAGCGTTAGTAAAAGTGAAAGTAACGAAAAATAATTAAAAAGACACATAAATTTATAGTGGCTGTCTGGGTAACTTAGAGTACGTCTACTGTAGGACTCTGATGATTTCACTATGGATGCTAAAAAGCGTTACAATCAGTCGTTGAGAGAACAATGGGATGCGAGAGAAATGTATGTTGGAAAATAAAGTAAATAATGGAAAAGTGTTATGTAAGTGAGCGTGATAGCGTGTGCTTCCTAAAGAAGACGTTATGTTTGTCCCAGAAGACATCTACATGCCTTGTATTTGTAGTACAAGATGCGGCCTAAGTCGACCGTTGACCTTTTTCCTCATTAATTCCTCTAGCTCGAGTAGTTAATTTCTTTCCTTTTCCAGTTGATTCTATTGCCGAATTCCGTATTTGGAATGTCTTGAGGATATTCTCTCGTGACTTTATGTCCAAAACTGTTTGTCAACTCGTGGGGTTGACTGATGGGAGTGACCACTAGATAAGTCATTTCAGTCTGTCTGAGGTGTCACAGGGACTCGTTTATTGACCTTTTAGTGCATGAGTTGCTACGTGTAAGGTGAGAGACAAAATATGAAATCTGACCTCAACACTTATGTCATGACTAGGAAATTTGTCGAAGGAATTATTGTATAAGATAAAATTTTTTGGACGTGGAGCTCGATTAGGGGCTAAGCGCACGAAAATAATGGAAAACGTGAGCAAAAGGCCCAGTATGATATAATTTGAAACAACTTTATAAATAAATGAATAAATAAATGAGCGAGTAAATAAATAAATGGATGAATAAATAAAATAAGACATTCAGTCCAGACACAACAGCCGGGACCTCACATCTTTTTTCTCAAAGGAAATATAACTGAAAATCACCGTATTACAGGCATCAGCAAGTAATTTATACAAATTACTTACACAACCACGTGCACAAGCCATACCCCCTGGGTTTCGGGTCCTGCCCCCAAGGATGCACTCTCCACATCCTATCTTGGCCATCAGCCAGTTTACCGGTTCGCAAGATCTCTTTCCTTAAGAAATCATTCAATAAACTTTCTGAAATCATTATTATAATCCCACGAACTACACAAGCCGTGGGCCCCATGAACTATAACAAGCCATGGGTTCCATGTACTACAACAAGCCATGGATTCCGTGAACTACAACAAGCCACGGTTTTTCAAATATTTTTCTTTCGCAAACATGCCCCTTTCTTTAAAACATTTGCAAGGCCAAAACTCTTTTTGAAAATCAGGCTCACAAGGAAAAGGGGATAGAAATCCTACCTCGTAATTATCAAACCTGTGGCTAGCGGTGCACTGTTCCGGCTCCCGCTTCCTCAAGCCACTCAATCCGAGTCCTCAGCTATCACTGTTATAAGACAATACTTTAGGATTCCAAATCTCATACCTAAAGTAATTTAGACTCAATCATATCCTTTGATTTCCTATTATTGTGCCATAATTCAATTACCGGTTCCACAAACCATTTCATGTTTCAAATTATCATTCCAAGGGTTTTCAATCTCAAAACATGGATTAAAGATGCTAATCCATCTACTCTAGGTCCCCAAGTGAAGCTAATTTGGGTCCTCCTCGAAAACAGAGGTCAAAACAGCAATTTTAGGCCAAACAGGGTCAAACCCTGTGTACACCGGTTGATCGGTGACAGAGCAGTGCAACACCACCAGTCGACCGGTGGTGTGCAATCCGGTCGACCGGACAGATCGACTGGTGGCCTCAGTATAGTCCGGGCGACCACACAGGTCGACCGGTGAAGAACACTAGTGCGAGAAAACTTACAAAATCAGTCAGAAAACCTATAAATCCAGTCCCAAATTAAAATATCTTAAGGGACAACCACTAGATCCGGGTTCTAGGTCCTAAAACAAGTCCAAAGAACCTAAGATCTCTAATTTCTACCCTAGTTTTACTCAAAATCCATCAAAATCCGTTTTGAACCAAAATAAGTTTTGAAATATGAAAAATCCGAGATTCAAGAAAGGTTCTTTCAGTAATCTTACCTCGAATTCTTCTCTTGATGTTGAAAACTTTTTTAAATCTTTCCTTGGTTCGAATCCGGTTTTGATTTGAGGCAAAATGGGAGATTTTTGAACGGAAGAGGGAGAGAGAGTGAGAACGAGAGTGAGAGTGAGAGAGAGAAAGAGAGAGTGCATGGGAAGGAAAGAGGAAAAAGGGAAAGAAGAGAAAAGAAAAAGGAAAAAAAAAAGAAAATGGACAAGTGTCACAAAATTTAAAACGATAGTCCAGAAATGCGCCCATAAACACTTCTGGGTTAAAATAAAATTACTGAGAATATTTAAATACCTTGGAATTATTTAAATTACACGTTAGAAACATTTATTAATTAATAACCAATTAATTAATTTAGATAAGGCACACTAATAAATCTCAATTACCTTAATTAATCACATTTAATTCTCCGGGGTGTTACAACTCTACCCCCCTTAAAGAATTTCATCCTCGAAATTAGGACTTACCTTAAAGTGCAAACAGAAGCGGATAATGCTCCTGCATCGTTGTTTCAAGCTCCCATGTTGCTTCCTCAGCTCTATGGTGTTGTTGTTGGAAAATAGTGGCATCGAGTGTGCAGCGGAATTTAAAACATTTAATCAACGTCAAAGCCAACCAAGAACATGTTCATGATGCTATATAACATAAATACTAAAGATCTAAATCATACCTTTTGAGATTTAGGAAACTGCACGTCTGACAAATCAAAGCGCTCCAAACAGCAACCAGAAGAGCCTCAACTGGTCTTCTTTGCTATTCTCGTTTCCACGATCGGAGTGCAGGTGGGCACACGTCGTTCAATCTCCTCTTGGTATTCTTGATCTCCTTCCAATCACAAGAGAGCCAAAGAAAAAATTGTTCTTGAGAATTAAACAATTTTTCCTCTCAGGAATCTTTTATCAATAGCCTCCAAAAAATCTCTCAAGTGATCTTATGAGTAATGTGACTTAATAGGCTATTTATAGTGTTTAGGAAGTCATACATCCGTAATAATTAGGTTTTCCAAAGTTGTAATTGCATCCAGAGTCGATTTTGCCACGTCAGCATGCATTTTACGTTACAACCGGTAGACCGGTGACAGAGACGTTATAACTCACCGGTCGACCTATCTTCACTAACCGGTCGACCTGTCTGCACTGACGAAAGTTGTTTTCCTAGTTTTTCAACACGGGAAACTTGCAGTTTGCTTAGAATGACAGTCTCAGACTTTCAGTTTGCTTATCATACATTCAACTATTATGAACATAAAGAGGACAATACATAGATATATGAAATAAACAAATCTTTATTAATAGTCAAAATGTCTCAAAGAATATTGTTACATTTATTCCTAAGGGCATA